TTTTTTCCTCTCACGAACATGTTTAATCCCGTGGAGCATTTTGCAGACGGACAGAAATACAAACGTACATACAGTCGTGATCCCTCAGACTGGCCATCCGTAATTGCGTACTTCGGACGCGACGGCGGCTGCAGTAGGAGTGGCGATCGATGCTGCATGATCACCTGATTTCAGCGATTAATTTTTCTATTTTGCCTGTTATTCTGCTAACTAGAAGGAAAAGTGAGTTCATATTATTTACTCTAATTTGAGGTTTTATTGTATATTTTGCTTTCAGTCGCTATTTGACTGCAGTGACGGTGTTTTTACCCACTTTTTGATTTTGTTTAGGTTTTTTTTTGTGCTTTGAATGTTGGACTGTTCTCCATGGCAGTGTCGTTATGTGTCCTCATTAGTACAAAAAAAACCTAAACAAAATCAAAAAGTGGGTAAAAACACCGTCACTGCAGTCAAATAGCGACTGAAAGCAAAATATACAATAAAACCTCAAATTAGAGTAAATAATATGAACTCACTTTTCCTTCTAGTTAGCAGAATAACAGGCAAAATAGAAAAATTAATCGCTGAAATCAGGTGATCATGCAGCATCGATCGCCACTCCTACTGCAGCCGCCGTCGCGTCCCAGTGAAGTACGCAATTACGGATGGCCAGTCTGAGGGATCACGACTGTATTTTCCAGCAAGGAAGTTCTGAAAATGTTTGAAAAGGTGATAGTCGGTTGGTGAAAGGTCTGGAGAATATGGCGGGTGAGGTAGAACTTCAACCCCCAATTCGTTCAATTTATGGATAGTGATTTGTGAAACGTGTGGGCGGGCGTTGTCATGCAAAAGAATCGGACCCTTTCTGTTGACAAGTGCTGGCTGCAGCTGACGCAATTTTCGGTACATTTCGTCGATTTCTTCACAGTAGGGTTCTGCTGTGATGGTTTGGCCTGGTGACAAAAAGTTATAGTGGTTTTTTCGTGAGGATTCGGCTTTGGAAATTGCCTCGGTGGTTCGTCGGCATCCAACCACTGTCCGGAACGTCTCCTGTTATCATACATGATCCACTTTTCATCACAGGTGACAATTCGGTCCAAAAACGGGTCGTTTCTGCTGCGCAAAAGCAACAGAAACGACCCGTTTCTGTTCTGTTGCGCAAAAGCAGTGAAGAAGAAATCGAGACGTGCCAATTTCTGCCGGTCACTCAAATTGTGGGGCACCCACTTGTCGAGTTTTTTCACCTTCCCAATGCGTTTCAGACCAACAGTGGATTTGCCAACGCCTAGCTTTTCTGCAATCTCTCGAACTGTTTGGGATGGGTCAGCCTCCACAAACGCCTTCAAATCCTCGTCAGGTATTGCTTTACCTGCTTTTAAAAGGGGTTTTATCAAGCAATGGTGAAACGGCAATTATACCATCAGATAGCGCAAAAAATTCTCTTCAGGATGTACTACTGAGAAGCAAGGAGAATGAGTTTTTAATCAGCAATGAATGTACAAAAAATAGTAACACAAAACGCTGAGAACTTTCCGGACAACGTAATAATATCGTCTAGTGGCACCGATGATTTCGAGTAATAAAAGTAAAAAGTGGATGCAGTTGATGTCTAGTAGCTGAGTGAAGATTCAATAAGCTATTTACTTGACTGACAAAGGCATTACAAAAGAAAACCACAGATAACCCTCAACAAAGACGATCATGCCTCTGGCTTAAAATCGTTGTCGAACAGCTCAGTGGTGCTTGAGCTCAACGTCGATTGCTCAAGGGCTGCTGACCCCTTCGAGGTCTTTGCAGAAGAATTTTTTTTAGTTTTGGGTCTTTTTGGAGGCGGCCTATTGTTCCGGCTTTGAAACTCCTCATACTCCATCTCCACTTGCCGTTGCTCTTTCAGCGCTCTCTGAAGCAATGTTTTGTCTCGAGGGTTATGCTCAGGGCATTTGCGTAGCGGCTTACCTCATAAGCTTCTTCGGCAGCTTTCAGTTTCTTTTCAAGAGCAACTCTTCCCTCGCTGCTCACAGGCACCATCACCTCCAAAAGCGACATCGTGGACTGCACATCTGCCTCGATTTTCTCGATCTTCTTTGCCACAGCAGCACGAGCGTTAGTTATTCGCCGGCTCTCCTCTTAAGTAGCCAGACTTTTGGGACACTAAAGAGTCCAAAGAAAGGAAAGGGTAACTTACCTCGCGCAAGATATTCCATATCCAAACTGGGCCTCTTCTTCTTTCGTCCTTGACAAAATTCGTCTACTTTCCGTTCTTGGAATTCATCTCGGGGTAGGCGTGGTTCTTCTGGGCGGCGAAGATTGAGCATAGAGGCAAACCTCAAAGATATCAATAGACTGATAGTATCAGTGAAAATGTCCACTGTGGAAGTTGCAATAAGACTAACTTCTCGATAACACTGAAGAACATAGTAAATGACTCCTTACTCTCCGCATCACAAGATTCGACCACCTAAAGGGAAAGGCGTTCAGGTAAGTTGTTCAGGAACAACTGATGGTCTCGTAAGGTTACCTTCAATATTAATGGGTCCTTCGGCTTTTGTGAGTAAACGAAATCATCGTACGCATCAGTAAGTGCCTGCAGCTGGCCTGATGGCAAACTTTCTTTGATAAACAGCGACAAGGCCGCTCGATGGTAGAGCTTTCGAAGTTTCAACGAAGCAAAGAAAATCGCTTCACATGTTGCTTCTTTAAGCGGGCAACTGTTCGCACCAGCGAGTCGCTTCAAAAGCCTACAAACGCATAATTTGGAAATATTATCGAAACAAAAAAATCCGTCAAAATAATCCTTTAAGGCCTCACACGATCTCGCCTGGGGAAAGCATATCGCCATATTTTTTCTTCAGATCATCTACTTCATACTGCGGGATCGACGCATCAAGCCTTAATTGAAACATGTGAATTGTGTCCGTTCTAATATGCGCAGCACTTGGTATTCTTCTGTATGGGACTATTGAGAATTTTCAACGATTTCAACACATCGTTCTAGCTGAATACAAAAATAGACAAGCAATATACAAGAGAGATGGATAAGCATATAGGTAAGCTTAGAGAAAAAGAGATGAAGATAAATTGAAGCAGAAAAGAGATGTTTGATATTTCGACAAAGGCTAGGAAAAAAGACATACAGCGGGGCTATAAGAACAGAGAGTTGTGCGGAAGGTTTCCGAGGGAAGTAATACATTGAGAGAAGTCGCCACAGTCGCTGAGGTACACTAGCAAGCAGGCAAATGTAAGTATATAAATAAATATCAAGAGCGTATTCACAAACTTACTCTGCCAGTTTTCTCTCAAGATCTAGGCGCTTTTTCACCTGTTCTCGAGCAGTGTCCATCTTATCATATACCTTTTCCAGTTCTGCTGACAAATTGTCTGAAAGAACATGATTTAGACTCATCTTCAAGTCAGATCACTTCCTCAATTCAAACATAAAGGTAATCTAAACTGCTGAAGCAACCTTCAACGTTTTCGAAATCGATAGGATAAAATTTCCTTGATGGTGCTTGCGAAACTCCCTGTTTAGTCTTGAGGAGACAGTCGATCTGTGGAACAGACACCTTGGAGCAAATCCCGATGTTTACATCCTTTCGGCGCCCCTGCCTTCTATCATCAGGTTTGCCTAAATGAAGCGAGACGATCAGTTTACAAAAGCAGAAAGAATAGTGAAAGTAACAGAGGTCGGATTCAGAGAGGAGGGCAAAAACTGGAAACTTTTATAGCGTTTCCAATCTACTTTCCGAGACTATTGCCCTTCTGAGAGGTTAACACCAGACCGAGTCACATCTCGATGATCATCGCACTTGATGTTTTTGAACTTCGAAATCGTCACGAAAAAGACCTTCGCTAGCACTTATATTACCCACTCTGATCTGAGCCCGAGAATAGTACAATGAGAACGGTCTCAGACCGCAATAGTAGAGGGATCTCTCACAACTCTCGTTCAATGATAAGACATATTATCTTTGGAGGATTCCCTAAGGGATCGTCTGCACACGTCTCGTTCAATTTGATAAGACATAATTATCTTGAGGTTTCCTAAGCACCAGTCTTCTGCTAGCCACCGATCTTGGCAATCGACTCAACCGTGTCTGCAACTGATCCACAGTTGTCCTCAGGAGACGGTTGCTTCTGTCTGCGCGAGAACGCAGAAGTCGCGTCGGTCCAATCCTTAATGAGTGAGTTGAGTTTTTTTTTTCACATACTTCGCCAAGACAGAAAATGTACGAATCGAGGGAACGCGCTTCCTGCCGAGGATGAAGCCAGATACCTTGGCGCGGCATTCTCCCGATTCAACGCAATCTCTCAGTCTGCGGCTTGCGTTGAAGTATGAACGCTGTGTAACCTGAACAGATGAACTTTCAAAACGACTTCCATCAATTGTTTGGCGATACTTTCGGTTACACCTATCTCAAACTCATTTAACTCGCGAAACTTATTGTGCTCACAATAGAGAAGAGTAGCGTACCCTGATGAGAGAGTTTCAAGACCCTCTGGCGAGGACGACCTTTCCGAGTCGTGATCTGATTCTGTTGTCCTTTCTGCTGTGATGTCGCATTCCAGGAAACTCATCGGCACCAAGTAAATAACGCATCGGCTCTCCTTCAAAGGTTTCTTCTTCGTTTCACGTACACTCCGATAAGAGTGCCTCAGATTTTTCCATACTCTCCTCAACTCGTTCACTACAATAGCACATTAAAGTATATGGATGAGCAGGTGTAAGTTCTATTCTACTGAATGCTACTCACTACATATCCTTTCAGCTGATCACTAAAACGAAAGCAATTTGGCCCGGTCCTGTGCAAATAACCTCGAAAGATCAGAGAAATCCGTGAGAGCCGGAGGAATAAGGTCCACTTCAAAGGAAGGCTACTAATGGTAAGTTTTCGAGCCCACTACAAGTTTGGAGTGATGATTACCCTTTTCATTTTTTACTGGTATATAAAGGATGCCATGACTTGCACCCTTATTGCACCCAGAGGCTTGTATGCGGTTCCAAAAAGAAAACAAAGGGACAAAAAAAGAGCATAAGGAGTAGCAATGGTCCTTAGAATCAGCATGCATCAAGAGCTGATCTAATACAATACGAAGTGGTAAAACCAAGAGCTCATTCCATTGGTTTCATTCTACCTCACTGCAATGAGATAAGTTCTTCTACTTCGAAAACATAATTCCTCTTTACTAGACACCCGGAAAAGAACAACTAGTCATGACACCACTGAAACCTTGAAAAAAAGAACCATCGAAAAGTAAGGAGGCCAGAGAAGCTGTCAACGAAAAATTAGACTATTCGTAGGACAACACTTTGTGAATCAAATCAATGCATTCGCCCGAAAAGCTTGTGAAGCTCCTATATCCAAACCACTGCTTACCTGAAAACAGAATACCGAACTGATCGAGCATTTCCTGAGACACTTCGCCCCACAGTCTCGTTCTCAATGAAGAGTTATTGGCTAGAGGGTGATATCTGTCCCAAAGCACATTGCGTTGGCGAATGCTCACAACAAGAGCCTCTCGCATGGCATCTGTCCATCCATGGCGCGCTGCGTCACCATTTGCTTGACCATTTGTCTAGAGAAATACGCACATGAGGTAGAAAGTGCAATGAAGGATAGAAACACGACAGATCCCAATACTTGCCACCCCTCTATCTACTGCAAGGACCTTAATTATAATGAACTGCTCGAGATTTTTTAAAATACAGACTCACGGAAGATGGGGCAGGTTCAGGTTTCAGCTGGCTGCAGCTAGCTTCTGGAAAACAACTATTTCAATGAAAGCTCTCAATAATGGAAAGAGAATCTATCCTGCATGGAGGGGAGAAGGTAAGAACAAAAGGTTAAAGGCAAAATGCGTATTCGCACATTGCCTTATCCCAATAATAATGCAAACGGGTTGTTATTGTGCTTCTAAAAAACAAAGCGCATGCTGCAATGAGTCAAAGCATACCATGCCATCGGTATCCCTCTCTCTTCCCGCATAATTCGACAGTAAATTTACCTAGGGCGTTAGCGATCGCTACGGGCTTTCGGGAAACTTAGTGGAAGGTTGAGCAAGGTAATAAAAAACAGCAATCAGTGTTCCTACCTACCACTGTCGTTATAATCATCCAAGACACACTTGTTCCGTCCATCTTGCCTTCTGAGTGAAGCTGTGAGTGAAGCTGGGTCATGGCTCTGAATAGCACTATCGCAAAATACGCATAAAATCTGCTGGAGCTGCACGGAAATATGACAGCTGAACGTTTAGCATAGTTTGGGACTTCAAAAACTCATTTCATGACTTGAAGAGAGCGAAACCTCGAAAGTTTTCTCAAATTTTATCTGTGATCATTTGATAATTTTCCTTTCTGCCGCACCGTAGAGAATTTTGCTGTGCTAGTAATATTTGATGAAGCAATTGCATAATCCAGTCTAAACACACTAACAACGTGTCTTTGTCAGGTCTGAAGGGTGATTCCATCGGCTGGGCTAGCATGTGTGACATGAGTGTTGCGTTGATATGCGTG